TTCTTTCAGACGAATCCAGTCGGAGTTATATTAAAAATTGTCTTTGATCTTTCAAGCTGTTTAATGCCACTCAGCGGGAGTTGCAGTGCTTCAGTCCAAAAGAAGTTAAATAAAAAGCACCTTTCCATAAAAAAAAGTGTCTCACACGGCTCCGGGGGGTGAACAAAGGCCTCCTGTAGCGAATCGATGCATTTTTGTAAGAAAAATATCCATATTCAAAACGTAATAATCACTTTAATCTAGCTTGCACCAGCAGTTGTACATGGAAGCAGCTCGGGGCTGATGACATATGAGGTCAGCGTTACGCATGCGCCGGTGAGTCTCATGAAAACCAACGTTTGTTAACAGGAGCAAAAGAAGCAAAGTTTCCTTACTTTAGCAAAGGAAAACAAGTCTCCTCTTGGCTTATATCGAAATCCGACCTCGTACGTCATTCCCCCGGAACTGCTTCCGTTTACAAAAGTGAGCGCAAGCTAGATTCAAGTGATTATTACGTTTTGAATATGGATATTTTTCTTACAAAAACTCATCGATTCGCAACAGAAGGCCTTTGTTCACCCCCCGGAGCCGTGTGAGGCACTTTTTATTATGGATGGGCGATTTTTATTTAACTTCTTTTGGACTGAAGCAATGCAACACCCGCTGTTTAAAGCAAAGTATTTTACTGGTAAACATACTGGTAAAAAATGTATGTAGCCTGAATGCACTGTAAGTCGCTTTGGATAAAAGCGTCTGCTAACTTTTAGAGTGTAGAACCGAAAAAACGAATTCGTTTTTCTGGTATAATATACCAGATTATATATATATATATATATATATAAAAAAACATATTTGCCAGCGGTGAATTACCCCTTTAAGCACTTGATGCTTTGGGCTTTGGATAAAAGCGTCTGCTAAATGCATAAATTAAATTAAAATTAAATTATTTTGGGACTTTGGAGCCCCCTACAGTTAAGTGCGTGGAATTAACTATCGTAATTACAGAGGGTAGCTGCCATCAAGCAATCTGCCCATTTCGCGGAATTTCGTACCCGCTCACCAAACTTACATACTCCCAGAACAGACATTTGGTAGGGTGACCGTACGTCCTCTTTTCCCCGGACATGCTGGGATTTATAAATTGCCTACAATTTCTGGGTTGACTTTGGTGCAATAATTCTTTAGTGCAATCTAAGGTTTGTCTGAAAAAGTCCACACAGAAGCACTGAAGATAAAACATCCATGTACACTCTAAAAAATGCTGGGTTAAATACAACCCAGTGCTGGGTAAAATAGGGACAAACCCAGCAATTGGCGTTTTTCTGGTATAATATACCAGATTATATATATATATATATATATATAAAAAAACATATTTGCCAGCGGTGAATTACCCCTTTAAGCACTTGATGCTTTGGCATCATGATAGTAAACATATTTGTCACCCATGTACTTTTTTTGTGCAGTGATTACATGGTACTCCAAGGTACTTTTGTGCTTTTTGGATTCAAAAGTACCATTGAATTATCATACCATCTTTACGAAAGTACCATATATTACCTTCTGATATGGACAGTGGAGATTTATAATGTGGGACTGCCATCATTTTACAGGAGAACGAGATCATTGTAAAACAGAGAAGCCAGATAATCATATGTCTGTCCACTGGTCAAACTCCAGAAACCATGAGACTTCCTTTTTTGTTCCTTATTCTCTGTGATATTCAGACAGGGTAACATGTACAAATCATATTTTTGATAATATAATATTTCTAGCTTCGATTCTCACATTCTAGTATTATTTCTCAGTGTAATGGCATTGATAAACGAACTTGATTATCAGGAAATTGTTTCTGCATGCGTGAATTAATCGTGTTTGCACTGGATTAAGCAAACATTCATCTGTTTAGGTGTGTCTTTAACTGATGATAGTGACTAGCTACATTCAGAAAAGGGAGATTTGTTCGTAATTTGTTCGTTTAGATTTAGATCTAAATATCTTTCTTGTGTCTCATACAGTTAAGATCATGAAGTTCATCAGTTTCTTGGCCACTTCTGCTTTGTGATGGCAGAGATTCTTAAAGTTCTTGCTTGTCTGTTTATCATGTCGATGCAGAGGACTGGTGAATCAAGTTTTTATGACATTGCTTGGGTTGGCAGAACTGTTTCACTATAAATACTTGAATCTATTTCTTATATTAAACGTCATGACACCGATGAAGGCAGCAAGCCGAAACGTCTGTTATTTGTATTTATCTCCTGTTTAAATAAAGATAATTTTAGAGTGCAGACCTTGAATAACGTTTACTATAAATACTTGAACAATGTAATGTGACAGTTGTCTTAAGATGTTCCATTAAAGCAATTTTATAGATAAAATATAGATTTGAAATGTCTGTGTTGAAACAACTGTCTTGTCCGTTATATATATTTCTCAATTTCTAAATAGTGGCAAATATAAAATCAATAATCTGAAAGTCAGTTATATGTATGTACTGTCTTTTTTGCAAAAGAATAATTTGCAAATAAAAACTACGCAATTATGATAATATTCGTCTTTGAATTTTTGTATAGTCTACGATTAAAATCAGCTGTTAATAAATCTGATCAGTGTCAAATATTATTACTTATTAGGACAAATGTGTATTTAAGCAATAAAGACACACTTTGCACATTTTATGTTTTGTTTTTACATGCCACCTTTCTCAGTCTTTATAAATGTTGCGTTAATTGTGTGAGGAATCGAGGATGTGTGTTGAACAGCCTCAAATAATGTCAGTTAAATCTAGTTTTGTTCAATAAGACTCTACATTTCCTCGCTGTAAACCATAGTCATAACGTTTATTAAAATGAACTGACATTATAACATTATATAATGCTTTACATATTAGTAATTGATAATTTCAGACTCTGTTGTCTCTGCTGAAAAAACAGCATATGCTGGTTAGGTATGTTTTGACGCTGGGATGCTGGTTTAAGCTGGTCCTTTGCTGGTTTATGCTGGT